CTCTCTCTCTCTACCATTTCCATGAATGTGTGTTGGATGTTTTGCTGCTGCTATATAAAGGGACTGAATGTTTCTTTTTCTGGACCTGTTATTGCATGATTCAGTGAAAGAAGCTACAATCCAGATACCAATCCACGTTAACTATTTCATCCATTAATATCGATTTTTGCTATGAAGTCAATAGTTGGCTTTATAGTGGAATCAATCTTCTATATTCAACATATAAACCTACCATATTAATAAAATTATATTATTGTTATCTAAGTAATCCGAGAATATGGTAGGTTTACTTGTTGTATATAGAAGGTTGACTCCACTATGGAGCCAACTGTTGGCTTCATAGCAAAATTGTTACTTTTATGGGAAAAGTCCACTTTTGGTCCTCCATGTTTAGGGGTATCCAGACTGAGTCCCTATTATGTTTTTGGTGCCCAATTTTGATCCTTAAAACAAAAAAATGTAGTCCCTATTATGTTTTGGTGCCCAATTTTAGTCCTTAAAACAAAAAATGTAGTCCCTCTATGTTTTGGTGCACAATTTTAGTCCTTAAAACAAAAAATGTAGTCCCTATTATGTTTTCGTGCCCAACTTTAGTCCTTAAAACAAAAAAATATAGTCCCTATTATGTTTTCGTGCCCAACTTTAGTCCTTAAAACAAAAAAATATAGTCCCTATTATGTTTGAGTGTTCAATTTTAGTCCTAAATATATAATTTTATTATTTAATATTTAATAATTAATAATTATGCAATGAATGTATCATGATTTTTATGATCAAGTCAATAATTTGTTCCTTTGAAATTTGATTTCATCTTTTCGATGTTTAAATTATTTTACACAACTACTTTGATGTTATTAACAAAAATGGACCATTAATTCACAGAAATTGAGGTTAAGGGACTACATTTTTTTGTTTTTAGAACTAAAATTGGGCACCAAAACATAATATGGACTACATTTTTTGTTTTAAAGACTAAAATTGAGCACCCAAACATAATAGAGACTATATATTTTTGTTTTAAGGACTAAAATTGGGCACGAAAACATAATAGGGACTACATTTTTTGTTTTAAGGACTAAAATTGAGCACCAAAACATAGCAGGGACTACTTTTTTGTTTTAAGGACTAAAATTGGGCACCAAAACATAATAGGAACTACATTTTTTTGTTTTAAGTACTAAAATTGGACACCAAAACATAATATGGACTCAGTCTGGATACCCCCTAAACATGGAGGACCAAAAGTAGACTTTACCCTACTTTTATTTATCATTTTGGCTTTGTTGATCATTAATCGTTTTGGATATTTTATACATATTTTTTTATTGTTTCCCTCATTTAATTAATACATTACAAGTTTTGGAGAAGAAAAAATCGTGGAAGACTTTTGGAGGAGAATTGTGGAAGACGGTGATGTTTTTTTTTCCTTAAAAGAACATCAAAAAAGCTAAAAAAAATTGTTTAATGTTAATTTGTTTTAAATAAGGCGCGCTAATATCGACAATAAGAATGTCTTAATTTACGTGTTAAACTACATGATAATATTTAAAAAGAATACGAGGTAATATATATTAATTTGGACCTCATCAAAATTGTTGTTACAATAAGTTGATAAATTCATATGAAAATACTCTAATTGCCCTTGCAAGATTAGTTTCTTTATTATTATAGTCTATTAGTTCTTCTTCAGTGAAATTTTCGAATAACCTACTCATCTCGTCGAGGTGGCCGTACTCAAAATATCTCAGTCCTAACAATGTTCGTTTATTCATTCAAGTTTTCCGAAATTATGTTCTACTCATATCTTTTTTCATTGGTGATTCTTTATTCAGTGTAGTTTCAATGTAGTTCGACTTTCATTTTGATCTAGCGTTGTTAATTTTAAGCTCTAAGCGATCTTCGAACCTGTCCTTCCAGTTTATCCACTAGATACGGCAACAATTGTCCATATCCCACGGGCCACGCCATTAACTTTTCCCTCGCCTTCTATTAACACACGGTCGACGCTCACGTGGGCATGTAATTCTCTCACAGGACTTTTCAAAACAAAAAGAGGCTACAATCGTCATTTCCGTATTCACCGGATGAGCAACAATTATAACGTTCACTTTGTTGATCATCTTCACGTTTCCCACCTCCATCCCCACTCCCACCGTGTAACGGTGCCACTGCGTGTGTGTGTGTGTGTGTGAGAGAGAGAGAGAGAGAGAGAGAGAGAGAGAGAGAGAGAGAGAGCTACTGGTTCATGGATTTAGGTTCATTTTGCTTTATGATTGTTAGCTTCAGCTGGCGTTTTTTACTTCGTGCGCGAGGCCGCGAGGGTAAGGATTTTTTTTGTGGATTTTTTCGCCATTTTTTTTTTCTTAATTTTTGTAGTTTTGTCGTCTGCTTCTGTATTGATTTTGATAAATTTTATTCACTCTATAGACTAAGGACAGCTCGATCGTCAGTTTAATCGAGACGATGAAGCTTTTTAGTTTGAGGTTTTTGTGAGAAAAATGTGTTCAGCTGGTTAAACAGATTGTTAGCTTTAGCTGCGGTTTTTGACTTTGTGCGAGTGTAAGGATTTCTGGAGGATTTTTTTGCAAATTTTTTTTCGACATTTTTGTAGTTTTGTCGTCTGCTTCTGTATCGTTTTTGATAGATTTTATTCACTCTATAGACTAAGGAGAGCTCGATCGTCAGTTTAATCGAGACGATGTAGCTTTTTAGTTTGAGGTTTTTGTGAGAAAAATGTGTTCAGCTGGTTAAATAATCCATCGAAGATGAATTTGTGCTAGCACAGTGAAAGCTAGCTCTTGCGCTGGGGTGCATCTTGCTGTATTTGACGCGTAATAGAAAACTTTTGGCTGTTTGCTGTTGATTCGAGTTGTTCATGGTGTCGTGGTTAGATCGTGAACTTATCGGAGGATTTTGTGAGTTTTCGTGTTGAGCTTTATAAATTATTTGCTTAAACTAACTAGAATTTCTAGCGATTCCAATCCATTCGGCCTCGTAGGACCTGATGATTCCCTGAAACTGAGAGCAAATCTGATTGTAAGTCTCGGTTCAAATGGAAGTATCTCCAGAAAGAGTGTTATTATACTTGATGTATGCTATACAAATTTGAAGTAATTTACGTTGTTTCTCCTCCTACTTTTATATTTTTCGGTATAAGCTTGTATGCGCATATATCTGTGTCCAGGTTTCGGGGGTCCTTTACCATTACTCATGTTTCTTACTGACCTTTTAAAAAATGATAATCTATAAAGAAAATTAATTAAGGAACTAATCGAAAAGCATGAATACTTGGGCTTGAAGCATAGTTGGTATTCCCATTAAGCAAAGCTATCTAATATTGAGTGTTGTTCCTGACTGTGCCAAAAGAGTTCCAAGTTTCTGTTGGGCAGAAAGGTTAAAGCCTGATGTTAACCAAGGTGATTATGGCACTGCCAACTGCTGATTAGATCCCTTTTAGCGTAATCAATATTGTGTTAGTTGCTTAAACCTTTCCATAATTAGTTGTCTTTCACGCAGAACGTGTTGAAGTGCTACTATACTCTGTCTCTTTAGGAGGCACAAATACTCCAACTCTTATGCTAGTTCGGTTAGCAAGCCATTTAATTTTCTAGTGCTCATTCTATTGGCATTTTCATATCCAATGCAGTAGTGAATCTAATTAAGTGAAAGGAAAGGGTGGTAACAAGTGGGTTCAGTTGGTGCTGAGGAATTGGGAAATAGTGAGAAGCTGCAAGGTATAATGAGTGAAGAAGAAGAGAAAATTTTGGTTTTGGTGAGGTTAAGGCCTTTGAGTGAGAAGGAGATGGCAAAGAATGAGGTTTCAGATTGGGAGTGCATCAACTCAACCACCATTTTGTACCGTAATAGCCTCCAAGAATGGTCTGGACTTCCCATTGCTTATACATTTGGTAAGTGTTGCATGCCTTTTCATTTATTCCTAGTTTCTTTTTGTTTTATGTTTCGGAAGAGACTTTTCATTTCTTTTTGTTTTATGTTTCATTTAGTTTCTTTTTGTTTTATTCCTAGTCAATCATCATGGTTTTGTACTTATAATGGATTGAACTTGTGCCATCTAGTTTTCCTTTGTTTCTCTGGAGAATCTTAGTTGTGCCTTTTAATTCATCTCCACAACAAATGTCTCAATGTTGTCGTTATTACTGGAGTTGGTCATGTTTTCTAGTTTAGGAGGAGAATCTACGAGTCTCGGTGGATTACCATTAGTATTCACAGATTGATATCATGTCAGCCAGGCTTTCATTGTT